TGTGTGTGTGTGTGTGTGTGTGTGTGTGTGTGTGTGTGTGTGTGTGTAATCCTCTTTATCCCAGCTGTCTCTCTCTCAGTGATTGATGTGGTGGAGCTGTTTTCCACTGGAAACACATCAGCTGCTATTTATGACTGAACTCAGACCAGGTCCTCTCTGAACTCAGACCAGGTTTGGGTTCAGACCCCCCTCACTTCCTCTTTATCTCATGTCTTCTTCTCTCTCTGTGTCTCATGGAATCTGTTGGGAGGGGTTTGGCTGAGGAATGTGAGACAGTCCCCCGCCTCCCTCACTGTGGATTACCCAGCATGCCTTGCTGCTGTGTTTGGACACCAGTCTGCACAGGACGACCGAGCACACACTGCTCCCTCTCTTTACCTTGTTGATCCTGTGTGTGTGTGTGTGTTAACTAATGCTGTGACATCACAGCCTACCCACAATGCTCCTCACCTCACTGTGACAGACAGAAGATGGACGGTAGGACCAGACTCTCTGTGTCTCCGTAGGGGTTGTCATGGTTACGCAGCGGCTCGGTAACCACGGTAACCGGACATATTCATACTGTGTGTGTGTGTGTTAGCTCGTTACATTTATTGTTGATTTTCACTGTTACACTCGTGATATGGATTAAGATTAAGAACTTTTATTGATGGATGATGTCATACAGACGTGTCACGTGACATGTTAACATCATGTGTGTATTATGGGATGTAATGTGTACATATATGTAATATAACGTAGGATATGATAGTGTGTGTGTGGGGGGGGGGGGGGGAAGAAATAAAAGCAGACTCCCTATATAGCCTTACACACACACACACACACTCTCTCAAATGGAAACTATCTCCACTGACTTCAATCGTTCTGCCGCCTGTGTGTGTGTGTGAGAGAGAGAGAGAGAGAGATAGAAAGAGGCTCTCTTAAAACAGTTATTTAAGAGAGGAGTTTTCCATTTGCCTCCTGGTTAGAGCTGTCGACACAGATACACACCCACAGTAGTTTGTAACGCTAACTAGCTTTCCCTCACTAGCATCGATATAAACAAATCTCTCAGTAGATAGCTAACTAGCTTTCCTCCACTAGCATCGATATAAACAAATCTCTCAGTAGATAGCTAACTAGCTTTCCCCCACTAGCATCAATATAAACAAATCTCCCAGTAGATGGCTAACTAGCTTTCCCTCACTAGCATCGATATAAACAAATCTCCCAGTAGATTGCTAACTAGCTTTCCCTCACTAGCATCGATATAAACAAATCTCCCAGTAGATAGCTAACTAGCTTTCCCTCACTAGCATCGATATCAACAAATCTCTCAGTAGATAGCTAGCTAACTAGCTTTCTCCCACATAAAAACAATGACAATGACCATGGTGGTGATATCGCTGGAAACAAAGCCACACACATCTGTGATATTATCACCCTGTTTTATCACAGTTTTAGCTAGCTAGTTAGCAGCCGGGATATAACTAGCTAAAACCATGGTCTGTGTTTTTTGTCGGTTTTCACTAACTAGTTAGCAAAAAATTTTTTTGATCTTTGTCCGTCGACGGTTCTCTGTAGAGGTTTTTTTTTAACTTCTCACCTTTGTGTACAACTATTTTCAGGACTCGAAAGTAGCCCTTAGTCGTTAACTGTCATTAACTGACGTAAACAGCTCTCTGTGTGTTTTCTGTGTGCAGATAATCAGTTCAGGATGTCCATCCTGGAGCGACTGGAGCAGATGGAGCGCAGGATGGCAGAGATGGCCACCCGCGACAACAACAACAACCAGCAGCAGCAGCAACAGCATCATCATCAACAACATGGCAGCCAGCTGGCCCCACCCCCCCTACCTGAAGACCATGAACAGGTGAGAAGATAGAACGTGACTCTCTCTCTGTTGGGGTCATGAAGCTTCTAATGTTCAGGTAGTAGTGTTAGACTAAATAATAGAAACACAATCACACCGCTTCTTTCTCTTTCTTTCCTCTTCTCGTGCACTCATTCTCTTTAAGCTGATCAGCCAATCAGAGACATGAGAGAGATTACAGGAAGCTGATAAACAGGTTAAGAAGAACTCATGAACACGAATGTAAAACCCTTTAAAACAGTCTGACCTCTGCTGAACCGGAGCTGCAGCCTGTCTCTCTGCCTGTCTGTCTGTCTCTCTCTGTCTCTCTCTGCCTGTCTGTCTCTCTCTGTCTCTCTCCCTCTGTCTGTCTCTCTCTCTCTCTCTCTCTGTCCTTCTGTCTGTCTCTCTGTCTCTCTCTCTCTGTTCTTCTGTCTGTCTCTCTGTCTCTCTCGCTGCCTGTCTCTGTCTTTCTCTGTCTCTCTGTCTCTGTGTCTCTCTGTCTATCTGTCTCTCTGTCTCTGATGTCACAGGGTTTATTCTGGCAGGTGGAGTCGTGGAGTTAAAATAGATTCTGGGGACTGGATGTGACGGAGACGGACAGACACTAAAACCATTAGAACTTATCGTATCCTCTGTTTTTACAGTGACATCAAGATCACTTTATGTTCTTTATCACACTTGTAGTTTACCAGTGTTTAGAGGCTTCACCTGAACTTTTATGCTGAAGGAAAAGCTTCACCAGAGCTTTTATTCTGAAGGAAAGGCTTCACCCGAGCTTTTATTTTGAAGGAAAGGCTTCACCCGAGCTTTTATTTTGAAGGAAAGGCTTCACCCGAGCTTTTATCCTGAAGGAAAGGCTTCACCCGAGCTTTTATCCTGAAGGAAAGGCTTCACCTGAGCTTTTATTCTGAAGGAATGATAATGAATCTCTGTTTTTGTCCTCAGTGGTTCGAGAGGAGGATTGTGGGAGTTTGTGAGAGGATGATGAGAGGAGGAAGGTGGGGAGGAGGAGGAGAGAGGCTTCATCACCCGGTCCGTCACCGCGGGATGACACTCCTCCACCTGGCTGCAGCACAAGGATACACACACCTGATACACACTCTGATCCGCTGGAGGTACACACACACACCTGATACACACACTGATCCACTGGAGGTACACACACACACCTGATACACACACTGATCCACTGGAGGTACACACACACACCTGATACACACACTGATCCGCAGGAGGTACACACACACACCTGATACACACTCTGATCCACTGGAGGTACACACACACACACACACCTGATACACACACTTGTTGACTATAGCTGTGTGTGTGTTGTAGGAGTGTTAACAGCGACAGTTTGGACTTGGAACAGGAAGTAGATCCTCTGAACATCGACCACTTCTCCTGCACCCCGCTGGTAAAACACACACACACACACATTTAAAGTGCTGTGCTGTGATTGGCCAGGTGTCCCGTCAGTCATAAGTGTTGTGTGTATCTCTGTGTGTTCCAGATGTGGGCGTGTGCTCTGGGCCACCAGAGGGCAGCAGAGCTCCTGTACAGCTGGAACAGCTCTGCTCTGGGGCTCCCTGATTCGCTGGGCCGCCTGCCACTCGCCGTGGCTCGCTCCCGAGGACACACCCGCCTCGCCACCGCGCTGGAGGAGCTGCACACGCACGTGGTGCCCAGGGACGACGTGCACACGCCCACCACGCCGCAACCACAGCCGTCACCGTCTCCTCTGTCCACCAGCCCAGACACAGGTAACACACCTGACAGTCATGTCTAACTAGTATCTACTAGGTAGTAGATACCAGCTAGTAGCTAACGCTGCGTTCACACCAAACGTGAAGTGAATGTGAAGTGATTCCAGTCCTCTGATTGGCTCTAACGGTGTCACTTCTTTCCCCCCATCCCATCCAGGTCTGAGCTCCTCCAGCAGCCTCCCCTCCCCCAGTGACCCCTCCTCCCCCTCCCCAAGCTCCGCCTATTCCAGTGGCCCCGCCCCCATGGATACCTCCCCCTCGTCTCTGTCTTCTTCCTCACTGCCGGTCTCCCCCTCCTCCCTGACCCCCCTCCCTGTGTCCATGTGGGGGGAGGAGATGACCTCCGGGCTCAACACAGGTAAGACAGGAAGCACAGGTAACACAGATAGCACAGGTAACACAGGTACCACAGGTAACACAGGTAGCACAGGTAGCAAAGGTAGCGTAGATAACACAGGTAGCTCAGGTAACACAGATAACGCAGGTAACACAGATAACGCAGGTAACACAGGTAACACAGGTAACGCAGGTAGCTCAGGTAACACAGATAACGCAGGTAACACAGATAACGCAGGTAACTCAGGTAACGCAGGTAGCTCAGGTAACGCAGGTAGCTCAGGTAACACAGGTAGCTCAGGTAACACAGGTAGCTCAGGTAACACAGGTAGCTCAGGTAACACAGGTAACGCAGGTAGCTCAGGTAACACAGGTAGCTCAGGTAACACAGGTAACACAGTTAGCATAGGTAGCTCAGGTAGCACAGGTAACACAGGTAACACATGTAACAGTTAGCATAGGTAGCTCAGGTAGCACAGGTAACACAGGTAACACAGATACTGTTTGATCAATAAGAGACCTGGTCTGTATCCCTGATCCTCATCCTCACTGATCCCTCACAGGTCAGAACCCCGGAGGCTCCAGAGACTCTCCGCTCTTCCTGATGGACTACGAGAGCACCTGTCCCCCCTCCCCCGCCCACACACACACACACCCGGCAGCCGGACGGCGAGCGCTGGAGGAGCAGCTGCTGAGCTATGGAGAGAACGCAGAGAACGAGGGAGAGGAGGAGGAGTTCCTGGAGGAGGAGGTGCTGCAGGTACACATTAAACACACCAACATTTAAAGTTTAGTCTTATGCCGAGTCATTCGCACCGCCGGTCTCGACGGGGACTATTTGTGTTCATTCGTGTTAATCGCACTGGACGTGCTGGAGAGGGGGCGTGGCTTATCGCCCTGGAAGCCGTTAAACTGTCCGCCATCAGCTATGGAAAAAATAACCTGTATTTCTGCTTAGTACGTGTTGTAGAAGTCCAGATATCAGGAAACTAAATGCCGCCATGCCTGGTTCATAACAGTCCAGAGGAGCTCTGTGGATTCATGGAGCTGTGTTCACTGTGTCTAGTGAGACACACGTTGCTGTTACTACAACTGTATGAACACAAAATAAACTGGTTTAACGGCAATAAACCGACAAAAAGGGACCCCGAAATAACTACGTAATGATGCAGATTAGTAAAAAGTCTGGATTCATATTTTGTTAGTTCTCTCTGCAAGACAACAAGCAAACAACTTTTAAAATACTTGTTTTCTTAATGGAGCTCGGATGGATCGGTGTTATGCTAAGCTAACATTGTAGCAGCTCCACCAACACTCAGTATAATGTCATCTAGGCGTAAATACGGCAGCGTCTATTCATTGTTTGTACCATATGGTTTACACATTTATACACATAGTTTGGTCTCTGTTGATATGAGGTATCGTAGAGCTCTGGGTGAACACAGACGACGACAGTATTTATTTCCTGATTCAACAACGGCAGGACGTCAGTGATGACAGGAGAAACATCTCAACGCTGATAGGCTATCACGCCGGGGCGTAACGCCATTTTTTTCGGCGAAGTTGAAAAATTTCAACTCAAGCGTTTTGGGCGTTTTGCCGATTGACGCAAATTCGCGTGAACCGCGCCATCGCAAATTCGCGTCACTCCAGTCTCATCGAGTCCTCCACACTGTCCTCAAGTGTAGTCCTGAGGTTAGTCCTCAAGTGTAGTGCTGAGGTTAGATTTCACACACACACTCTGAACACACACACACACACACTCATTTGTCAAAACTTGCAAATATTCAGTGACCACAGAGTTCCTGTTGCTATGGTTACTCTCAGGTTGACATGGCGACGCTGGCGGAGCAGATCATCGAGGCGACCCCGGAGCGAATCAAACAGGAGGACTTCTCTAGGGGGGCGGAGTCACCGCTCAGAGAGAGGCGGGACAACCCCGCCATACAGGTCACCTGGCTTGCTACGTACCTCGACACGGTCGACGTCCACACGCACTCCCCGCCCAGGTATGCCCCGCCCCCTGCTTTGCATTAAGGGTATTATCACCAGGTCATGGATACATGTGTGTTTACGTGCACCTGCAGACGGGTGTGCCCGCCCTCACCCCTCAGCGCACTGGCCCTCCAGAGGCTCCGCCCCCCTTCCTCCGTGGCGTGGGCGGAGTTCCTGAACGCTTCAGCCAATGGGAAGATAGAAAGAGACTTCGCCCTGCTGACGCTGACGGACGGAGAGCAGAGGGAGCTGTACGAGGCCGCCAGGATCATCCAGAACGCCTTTAGGAGATACAAGGTACACACACTACATGCTATGATGTCATCACAGTGTGTACACACACATGTCACATGTCACGCTACTGTTTCCTGTCTGTCTGCAGGGTCGGAGGTTAAAGGAGCAGCAGGACATGGCTGCAGCCGTCATACAGAGATGCTACAGGAAGTACAAACAGGTGTGTGTGTGTGTGTGTGTGTTGGCTTCACTAACACTGAACTAACCTGCCGTGTGTCTTCACCGTGTCTCTCTCTCTCTGCCCGTCTCCCTCTCTCTCTCTCTGGCTAGCTAACATGGATAGCTCTGAAGGTAATATGGACAGACCAGTAGATGTAGTGACGTGTGGTCAGTGTGTGTGTGTGTGTGTTTAATCACGTGATATGTAAACAGTGTTTCTATCAGTGAATATTGGTTCTGGTTTAACACCTGTAAGAGAGGAGTTAATACATGTTAGTTCATACAGAGAGAGAGTTAAACCAACCTGTATGTCTCTCCGCTTGCTATTTGTGTTTATTTGCCTCATTCGTGCCAGAGATGAGGAGTGGCTTATCTCCATGGAAGCCGTTATCAACTGAGCCATTTATTTCCGCCGTCAGCCATGGAAGAAATAACAGTTTCTGCTTCGTACTTGTTGTGAAGTCACAGATATCCTGAGGAACTAAACTCTGTGATGTCTGAGTTCATAACATCATCTGGAGGAGTTTTCACTGAGTCTACTGGTTATCACAGCTGTGTGAACCCAAAATAAACAGATTTAGCTGTGATTTAATATCAATAAACAGACACAAAGCGATGCAGGAATAACCACGTAATGATGATTTGTCTGAATTCATGTTTTGTTTGTTCTCTCTGCAAGACGACAAGCAAATCACTTTTGAAATGCTTGTTTTCTGAATGGAGTCTGGTTTGATCTATGCTAGGCTATATGCTAACATTGTGTAACTGGACTCTAACGGTGCCCCCCCCCCCTCAGTACGCTCTCTACAAGAAGATGACCCAGGCGGCCATCTTGATCCAGTCCAAGTTCAGGTCCTACTACGAGCAGAAGCGGTTCCAACAGAGCCGACGGGCGGCGGTCCTCATCCAGCAGTACTACCGCAGCTACAAGGAGTACGAGAGGCTGAAGCAGGGTCCAAGAGGGGCCACCAGTCACAACCCCAAGCTCAAGTAAGACCTGAACCATGCATCTGTTAGAACCAGATCAGGTTAGACCTGATCCATACACCTGTCAGAACCAGATCAGGTTAGACCTCATCCATACACCTGTCAGAACCAGATCAGGTTAGACCTCATCCATACACCTGTTAGTACCAGATCAGGTTAGACCTCATCCATACACCTGTTAGTACCAGATCAGGTTAGACCTCATCCATACACCTGTTAGAACCAGATCAGGTTAGACCTCATCCATACACCTGTTAGAACCAGATCAGGTTAGACCTGTTAGAGGGTATTGATTACAGACGGAGGGAATCAAAATATATCATCCACGTGAATCGTGTAGATCCGTAGAGTTTATTTTTTGGGGGGGGTCAACTGGTCAGCCAGCGTTTCTCAGATTGGAGTGAGACGAAGAGAAATGGTGACGTCGTGATCTTCACAATAGAACATCTTTGATGTGTGGAGTCTTGGCCAATCAGCGTTCAGATGTGTACAGCGTCTTCATTTCCCTCCGTTACAGTTTAAGTTCCGTTATGTTCCGTTACCGTTCAGACTTGGGTTAAGTTAACGTCCACTGCATGCGGAACTTTGTCGACTGTTAACGTTCGTCATTATCGCGATTTAGGAGGAAAAAACGTAGCGTGATGAAACATGCAGCCCCCCCGTGTTCCGGTTCAGTTCACGCGGTCACTCGTTAACGTTAAACCAGAACACCGGCGCATCTGGTTGCAGGTTGTTTGTTTTAACTCAAAGTAGAATGAGGATGATTTCATGGTCAGAATAACTTTCATGACCACGAAACATGAGGTCCAGATACTGATGAGATGATGAGGTCCAGATACTGATGAGATGATGAGGCCCAGATACTGATGAGATGATGAGGTCCAGATACTGATGAGATGATGA